AGTCAAAAATATTCGAAATTGAGTTGTTCATTGTAAAAATTTTATCAGAAAATGATATGATATCAAAAGCTTGTCCAATCGAAATGATAGTAAAAGCCATTTTGGCTTTTATTGATTTTTTGATGTTAAAGTTGCAAAGAAAATACACATATCAGAAAGTATTATAAGGAGAAGAAGTCAAGTGGTTTTGAGGAGAAGAAAACCGAAGTATCACATTTAACTAAAAAAGCGTTGTAAGTCGGAATCCAATTAGTGCAAAATACATCATGATCTTCAATATATGTTATGTTGTAGAATTATTGATATTGACGGCAATGTCAAAAATGTGGTGCTTGAATTAAAAGCACATAATGGTTCTTCACTGGTGGAGCAACCTTTGAATTGACCAAACAGGTTCTTCTTGAGTTTTCAATGGATTTTTGTAAACCGACTTCTGTTACGGTTAATGGTGGTGCAAATGTTTCAGGAAAGAATAATGGATCGGCCATAAGAATATGTAAAATGGTCAATGAATTACAAAACGACTTTGTTTGTGGTAAAGTTCACTGTAATTGTCACAAAATAAATCTCATCTCAAAGACATTTGAAAAAATTTCAGTTGTTGCAAATTGTTTGAAGATGTTCAAAGTTGGGTGTTCCATTTAATCCGAAGATTCGACGTGGTTCTCACAGCATATTGAAGCGGTGCCCACTTGGTGCCCAACAAGGTGGTTGAGTCAAGGGAAGAATTTTTTTCATTCAAGTTCACTGGACTGATATTGAAAAGAGATTATCAGAAATGGAAAAGGAAGTTGTATTTATTGGAGACGTTGAAGTGAGTGAACTGGCAACATTTTGAAAGATAACTCAAACTATATCGTTTCAAGTTATCTTGTTGATACTTTAAATACACTTTGTGACCTCAATCAATCTTCGCAAGGAACGAATGCATTTATGTTTCATAAAATGGGTGTTATCAGGAATTTTTATATGGAATTGAGAAACAAAGTTATAAAAATTAGTCAATACAATTATTTTTCTTTCGAAACCATAAAAGAATTGGAGTTCGAACCAGACTGTTTCATTCACAATTTCATAAACATCCTATTAACCATTATAAATTGTATGAAATTTCGTTTTCCATATGTAAAATGTTTGTCATTTAAGCATTGTTTAAAAATGTATTTCTCGGAAATAAAACAAAAGAGTTTATTTGCTTTATTTTTTGAGAGTAAGTCGAAACATTAAAGATTTTGCCTAAAGAATACCCATTTTAAAGACGACATTAATATTATAAAAAAAATAAGAAACACCAAAGTTGTTGATTTAAAGACTGTGAATGGGTTTTAAGATCTATTGTCATATAAAAATATGATTAATAGGAACGATGAACTGTTAAATTTACTCTCTATATCATGTCTATATTCCCTACAAGTGTTATATCCGAATAAACATTTTCTATTGCAAAATATACTTGGAAACCCAATATAAAACAAGACACTTTTAATATGCGTGTTGTTTTGAAGCAACTTAAAAACGTCTTTAATTGAAAAAAACAGTATATTATTGTTTTTGATTTAAACCATTAAACAAGATTTTGTATATATTTTACTATTAAAATGTCACAATTTAACTATTTATACAATTAATTCTATTTTGAATTAATAAAGGCTTAATATCATTTTAAAAATAGATATTTTTATGTAAGGAGAGCTTACTCAATTGGGTCATTTGAGTAAGCAGAATAATTTATTTTTAGAAAAATAAAAATTCTTTCAATTAAAATATTTCATTATTGTTTCACGTTTTTGTGATATAACAACAAAGTAACAAAAAACTTTATAAGTTTAAAGCTCTTAATTTGTGGAACGTTAAAGTTTTACAATCATCATACGGAAAATAAACACATTTCAAAGTGTCAGTTGAACTATTCAACAAGACATTTGATGATGATAATCAATTAAATAAATCATCGAATTTTTCTTTGTTAAAACATTAAAAATTTATTGTCACCATATTTGTCGATAAAATTCACGCTTTCCTCACTTTCGACAATTTCCTTTTCAATTTCACCATTATTATTGAAATTATATTTTATTCCATGAAATCAGCACAACCTCATTTTGTCGAAAATGTTCACTAAATCAGTTTTGTTGGGGTTTTGACTGGAATTTACTAATTAAAAATTGACTCATTCCAGTTAAAACAATAGTGTTTTCATTAACTTCCATTTTTAAATCACCATTACCATCAACTAAATCAAATAATAATTGTGTATTTGAATTGTAATAAGATTCGAGACCAACAACTTATTTTTGTTCGTTGTAAGATTGGGTTGTTTGTCTTTGAACTTTGTTTATTTTTGGCCTTCCCACTTTCTTTGTTTTGTTTCAGTGTTAACCAAAATTGAGTTGCGTCTAAGTGTTGGCTTCTTCGATGTTTAATTGTCAATAATTGTGTGTTTGGTGTGTTTGGTTTTTTGATTGTTTTTATTTAAAAACAAGTCTAGTATATTTTTCTGTTCGTCAAACCATATTGGTACATTTGTTGAGGTCATTGTGTCTCTTTTTGAAATTAAAGTAATTATATAATTATTTGTTAACATTAAAACAGTAAAAGATTCAGCCTGTCAAATGACAGCTAAATTCAAAAAATCTATAATTAGTTAATTAATTGATAAAAATAGTTTTTTATTTGAAAATCCATCTTTGAGTAAGCTCTCCTAAAGTCTGTTTTCTATTTAGCGATATTCTAAAAATATAACAAAGAAAAGAACTATAGTCGGGGGATAAATAGCATTAAAAAGGGACAAAGGTAGTTAATTTTGATAGATATAATTTTGAAACTATAATTTTTAAAAAATCTATTTAAAGGTCAAAATAAACATAAAATTAAAATATTAATATAAATTATTGTTTTTTATTTAATATGATTATAAATTGAATAATTATAAATTTCTATTTCAAAAATAAACAAAAACACCTCATTTTGTTCACTTAGAGAATGTGGAAGTCTAAAACGCAGTACTTTTTATGGTTTGTCTGAAACTTGTTTTGTTAAAGAATTTTTCCTTTGTTTTTTCCTTTGTTTCATTTCTTTTCTGCTCTTCTTCAACTCCAATCGTTTTAATGTTAAAATGGTCTTTCTCTTTTCCTTTCTCAATGGGAATGGTTCAACAACGAAAGATTGAAAGATTTTAACAAATGATGGATTTTTCAGTGATTCCGTGACACTTTAAAAAATTGACACTGTTGTTAATTCATTAAACTCTGGCATTTTAACCATATATATCATGAATATATTGAAATACAATTTTTAAACTGGTTTCTTGTATTTGAATTGCTTTTTTATGTTGATTGCCTGTGGTTGTTTCATCAAGGGTTCCTTTCTCTTCTTCTTCCATTGTTTTCAAAGATTGAATAATATCAAAAATAGAAAGTTATGGTTTTCTTTTATTATTTTTAAAGTAGTTAATTGAAAAAACCTTTCTAATACTTTTATAGTTAAAGAAATTATATTTTATAGTTTTTTACTCAAATTAACTACTTCTGTCCCAAATTAACCCCCTTTATCACCCGACTATAGACCGAAAATATTATACCATTATTTACTATACTCAATATCGCTAATTAAAAACCATTAACTATTAATAAAATTGTCATTAATTAAAACTAATGTTAAACAAATCCTAAGCATTGACTTTTTTCCAATTCACTTGTTGTCGTTTTCAATTTGACCCAAATGATAATTTGACATGTCTACTCGATCTAATATGACATTTTATTCATTTTGAATAACCTGGTTGACATAGTTTATTTCGTCGTATTCACATTTCAAGACCAACCTATTCTCGTTTTGGCTTTAGAATTTTTTCAGTTGTTTAGCCATTTTGTTTTTGTTATTTTTAGCACACTTTTTAAAAAAAAAGAACAAAAAAATAAAATACAAACCATTTTTTAGAAAAACCACTTTATTTTTATTATAAATTATAATACTGTTATTATAAATAATAGTAAAAACCTAATATCGTTAAATAGAAAACAGACTTTATAGTTTTAAGTTATTTTCGCTAAGTGTTTACCATTTTTATATAAAATTAAAAAAAAATAATCTTTGAACAAAAAAAACCGTTCAAGGTGAATTATTTTGTTATAAATTTGTCTTCATTATTATAAAGGTGAAGAGTCTCGACATTTGGAAAATACTTATGTGTTTTGAATGTAACTGAAATTGGATTAAAGTGAAACATATCGGGTATTTATTGAAACTTTTTACATACAAACATCATGTTTTTATAATCAATTATACTACTAAAATATTTCGAAATCATCATCATTGAATAGCGATTTAATTTAATACTCATTATTGTGTTATATTTGTCAGTTTGAAGTTACTATAAATAAAAACATGTGATGATTTATTGTAATAATTTTTTATTATGATTTTTATTATATTTATAATTGTTTTTTGTTATAATATTTTGCTAAATATTTCACTTTGTGTCACATCATTTTGAGTATATAAAACTTTGAAGTTGTGATGAACGACACTGTGAAAATCATTTCTGATTCCGAGTTTTCAAAATGCACTTCACTGAAGAAAATTGTGTTATTTTTAAATTTGGAAGTCATTAGGCAATAAATAATAATTGAATTATTATTTATAAACAAACAACTTAATAAATTAATTATTTAACTTTTGTTATTTGTTATAATACGATTTATTTTTAATAATTTTGTATAATAATTTTTTTTAAATATACGTCCCATTTATAATTTCGTTTTTAAACGTTTCATCTGAATTGGACAAAATGAAAAGAGTCTTAAATCAAGAATATGATAAAGTGCGTCTTTGGCAACAACTTTTATTTCTGCAGTGTAATCTGTTGATATATTTGAAACAAATTGTATTTTTACCATGTTGTTACAAATTAGTACAAATTTAAATATATATAACACTTATAAATTGTTTTATTTTTAAACTTGTTAGATATGTTAATAAATATTGTAAAATAATGTATTTCAGTCTAAAGAGAAAGGACGGACATGGGGACGAAGGACGGGAATATAGGCCGAAGGACGTCCTTTGTGGTTTAGGGACATCCTCCCGCTATAAAGGACGTCCTCCTGTGTATATGGTGTCCTTTCTATTATTTTCGTGTCCGCGGCATTTTTTATAACTATATAATGAGTTATAATATTACTATGAATTTACTATTATAAAATA